CCCCCCCCCCCCCCCCCCCCCCCTTCAGGGAGTGTCATCGCCATCGATTGTATAAGTTTTTTCAATCACCTTTTGATTTCGTGGTATGCCCGAAAAGACCTTGATGGCGACCTTGAGTGGCATCGACTTGCCCAAGGAGTCGCGCAGGGAAGCAGCAGCAGCTCGCACGCCGTCCAGAATGGTGGCTTCTTGACCTTCAGTGAGCGCACCCTTGCCTTCTTCTGGGTTGACCCCTTTGTTCTTGTACGAGCCGGCTGGTGCCAGCGGGGTGTAGGAGCTGAAAGGGGGAAAAAGGCAACGGCTGTTCAGCACAACGCCGGCAAGCGAGACGGGGAGCTTGTTACCCACCCCGATTGCTGGATCTTCTTGAAGGCCGGGTTACGCTTCGCCACTTGGAATACGTGCCCCTCCTGCGAGACGAACGTGTTTCGATCGATCGAGTCAGAGGGGTGCAAAATCCGACACCAAAGGTGTCCGACTCACCGTCGTGAAGTAGTAGTCGTCCAACGACCAAGTCTCGGGGTCGTCCCACATGAGACTGCAAGGGCGCGGGCGCGGACGCGGGCGCGGACGCGGACGCGGACGTCTGTCAGGTGCACTCTCACAGCCTTGCAATCCCAAATCACTCACTAGAGGTACTTGAGCGTCTCGGCAAAGAGCTAGAAGGCAGTGCACACAGAATACACTGTGAGTCGTGAGAGTGATCCGCGCGATTGTACGCTTCAACTCACAAAGGTTTGCGCTTCGTCGTAAGCGGAAGAGGAGAGATCGTTGACATTGACAAGGCAAAGCCAACCGTTGCCCGTATCGAGGTATTTCTTCATGGCGAGGTAAGCTTCCCAGGCGTAGTCTCTAAAGATTTGCTGACCCGTGATGCGGTACAAGTAGAAGAGGCTTTCGATGGTCTCCCTAAAGGCGCAACATGGACACGTCAGTAGCAATCAGAAAGCATGTTGGACGTGATCAACTCACGGACGCTGAATGTAGCTTGCAGCAGAACCAATGAAGAAACCGTGCTCGTTGTAAAACTCGCGGCGTCCGACAGAGACAAAGTCCCAGCCTTTGGCGATGCCGTGGTCGTCAAAGTAGCCGATCACCTGAGGGATGGCGGCACGCGGGTGGTTCAGCTACGAGTCTCCGCCCAAGGGTGCCACGCCTGCTCACCTCAGGGCCAAGGCGAGTAGCAGTCGCATTGTACGTCCTCGCGTGACTCTCTGCGATCTCACCGCCAATCTGCACCCACGTCTCGTTGCCAAACAGAGCACCTCCCATGGCCAAGCCGCCTCCGATCCAGCTGGCGAGGTGGCTAGTGACGTACACCTTGGTCTTGTTCTTTGGCTCAAAGTCTGCCATGAAGGTCAGATTGCCTACACCGGTGTTGGTGGCCAAATTGGTAAAGGAGTCGGCTGCTGCTCTCCACGTCTTGAGGTAGTCGTCGTTCGCGTCGAGACCGTAAGCGAAGCCATATTTCAAGAGATACTCCTGCAAGAGAGAGAAGGGGGGAGGGGGGGGAAAGGGAATTAAAGTCGAGTCACGGTGCTGAATGCGTGGCGGTTCACCCACCCAGAACGAGTCGGATCCACCACCAGCAGTAACCCAAAGATCATCGGTGTAGCTGTCAAGGGTATGCGCGACTGAGCGATGGTCTACGACTGCGGGCGCTCACTGCACTCACGACAAATTACCAGGGAAAAAGTTCTGACTCGGCAAGCCGGGCAGAGGCTGTTGGAGTCCAATGAGCGCCTTCATGGCGCCGTCGGTGAGGTCGAGGTACTGCTGATTGCCCGTATACTTGGTGAGTCTGGCCCACTCCAGGATGAGCGACCCGGCCTCCGCAATGTTGGCAGTGTCGTTGAGGTTGACGGGGGCACTGAGATTGAGGTTAAAGTGATTGTAGGGCACCTTATTGCGCTGGTTGGTAGTGGTATTGGTCCACCAAGCTGAAGCCAGCTTGTCACCCAGCTCTTTAGCCTTGTCTACGAGGAAGCGCTGGTCAGGACGCTCTCCTCCAAGGTGGTAGGCCGAAAGCAAACCTCCAATGTACCTGATGGTCAGCTCGAACACGCTGCAGAGTGTCACAAACCATCGTGATAAGCTTCCTCGCCTGCCGTTGTGCGACACGGATCAACTCACGAGACTGAGCCGACGGGATCACCTTCTGGCGTGACGCTAAAGTTGAGCTGCTTGGCATGTTCTAGGGCGCGCTTGTACTCGTCCGAGTGGGAAAGTTGCATGATGTGCATGGTGCTCATGGAATCGATGATGGTGCCTCCGAAACCTGCCAGGATAGAATTGTTGTCGCCCTGGCGCGCTACGGGTTTGAGCAGGTCGGAGCCAAAGGCGAATTGCTCGTACTTTTGGTATTGCTCGATGAACGTCTGACGGACAAACGTGTCAGTCATTCGCACGTCATGAGCGGCTGATGCCATCCATCGTCCGCCTCACCTTTTTGATAGCTTCTCTTTTTTCCACATCTGCTCCCCAGTGCACGCCTGAGGATGCAGAGGCAGGCTGCTTGGACGGCGTCTCATCATCTGGGTTGTTCCCGCCCTGGCGTCGCATGTTGATGCTGGAGCGGCGGACGACGGATGGGTGGGCAGCAGCTGCCTGGACGCTGCTGCTGCTGAGGGCGAGAGCAGCAAGGACCAGGAGGAGTGGGCATAGCGCCCGAGTTGAGAGCGAGAAGCGCATCACAAGCGTCAGCAAAGCGTGCTGTGCTTGACAAGCGAGGAGTGTGGAAAGGGAGGACAGCCAAGTGAGCGTGGAAAGGAAGTGGAAAGATTTGGGATGCGATGGTGGAGAGGTGTCAGCTGTAGCCCGGCCTCGAAAATCTAAGGTTGGCCCTTTATGAAGCAATGGGAGCCGTGTGAGGTACTGCTGCGCTGCTGGCAGCGACGCATGGCTTGAGTAGCTGCTGCTGGATACGGCTGTTGCAACACGCGGCTGCAGAAAGCCGCGCATTACCTTCAGCCAGCCCGGGTCGCAGGGTGGTGCTGCTGGAAGCAGATGGTTCGGATTCACATTGTTGACTGCGCCCGCGCGCCAAGGTACGGCGCGTCCGCGGTACGTCAATTTGGGTGACCTCGTACGTTTGCTTAATGTGCCGCGTGTCTCCATTCATCAATTTTGAAATTTGGATCTAGAGGGAGCGCTCATGTGAACGTGCCTGGCGTCGCACAGGTCCCGACCAGGCAGTTCGATTTGTGTACACGCGCCGGTCTGGCGGGAAAGCCCATCGAGTTGCTGCGCTCTGGCAGCTCTTTGATGCCAGTCGATCTACACCCTGGCCCGGCCCTTCGCGGAGGCAGACACTGCGCGGCCTCGTCTCCCAAGCGTGCTAGCGGAAAGTTGCAAGGTACCGAGGAGCTGCACTTCGTGAAGCATTTCGGCGCTTCGACTTCGCCAAGCATGCTCCGAGAATGTTATGAATGCGCCTTTGCGCTGAACGCTGCCTTTCTTCTGACGAAGCAGCTCTTGGTGGATGTATCTTGCAAGCAAGAGTCGTTGGTGTGGCTGCCCCTATTGTTGCTGCGCCGGTCCCGTTGAAGGGGGGCGGGTCCATAACGAGCGCATACATGCGGACCTCTGACGCTTGTCCGTGATACATTGCACCGCCGCTGCGAGCGTGTTTGAGATTCTGCGCAAAGGGGTTCGGCTATGGAGGGAGGGATGGCATCCCTTGATGGAGCCATAATGAGCATTGATAGGAGAATACAGCTGCGTGCTTGGTATGATCGACGGACCGCCGTAGGTCAATGCTCATAAGAAAGGCGGTGTTCCCCGTCTGGATGTTGATGCCGCGGTCAGCGTGATACTCGGGCGTGCTGCCTATGCGAGTCTGCCCACATGTCGTCGAAGGTTCTCCTAGCTGATTGGCAAATGCATGCGCTCTCATCCTCGTCGTGCGCGGAAAAGTCAGCCTTACCCTGTGCGCGCTGCCGATAGCCGTAGCAAACCGATGGATGCCGCGCGCGTTACCCTCGTCGAAGGGCGATCGATAAGTTTCATTGCGTGCCTTGGCTTACGCATGCATGGCTGCAGGAGCGTTGTCTCTGCCTGCGGTGAGGGAGAGCGTGTGTGTGCGTGTGTGCTGTTGACCCTGCTCTGCGCGCGCGCTATAGCTCTTGATCCTGCCGAAATCACAATGTGAATGTAAATAAATGTCTTTGATATGCTAACCGCTCCTCCACAGTCGTGAGTCCAAAATTCCCAGTAGCTCAACGCTTGGTGGTGTAAGTAAGGCATGCATGGCCTGCGTGCCCCGGGCGTTGGCTGCTGGCGTCTTTCAGCAGCAGCATGCAGGTACTTCTGACTGCAAGGTGGGTGGCATGTGCATGTCATGAGTCCCGCGCGCGCCTGGTCCATTCACGTGATTCATCACGCACCACTCGCGACTCGTGCCTCGTGCCTCTTGGCTTCTCTTCTCACACTCTGACTCAAACTGCCTTCTCCTCGACTGCAATTGTAAGCTGATCATCACCCCATGAATCACATCCGTAATACGCCCTTGTACCTCCACCGAGCACATTGACCCGCGATCCGGTATGCCTCCTCGCAAAAAGCAACGCACTCGAACGTCCCCCACTCTGGTCGCCTCTCCATTCGGCGCCCTACCATCTTCTGCCTCTGCATCGGATGAGGATGAGGAGATTCATAGCGGACCGGCAAGCGAGAGCGAAGGGCTCACGATCGGTCTGGCTGCCAGCAAGAGCTCAACGACTCGACAAGCTGGTACCGGCATCCGCATCGCATCTCCGCCTCGTGTCGAGACGGATGGACCAGCAGAGGGGCTGCTGCCTAACAGCTTGGACGCCCTGCCTTCCCACCTCTTGGCTCGTGCACTGCCCGCTTTGAAGCGCAACATTCTGCGCTCACTCTTTGATGCTTCTGCTCAAGCGACCGCAGCGGCGCATGGAAGCACAATTCTCAGCGACGAGATGCAAGCAGCTCGAGAAGCGTGTCTGGGTCAGCAAAAGCAGTGGGATGAGCTGAGTGGCATGCTCAGCAACACCATCACGCACGGCGAAGGCAACAGCGCCCTCATACTCGGAGCTCCCGGCTGCGGCAAAAAGACTGTGAGTGATGAGGGTGCGCGCGCGACGGTGAGATGGAGACCTATGGGGTGACTAAAAAAGAACGCGCCGCATACACGCACCACTTGCAACAGCTGTTGCGCTCTGCTCTGTCGACCCTGCCCAGCTCAAAGTATCATCATGTTCAACTGGACGGCACGGTACAGACGACGGACGCGCTGGCTATGAAGGAGCTGGCGCGTCAGTTGGTCAGCAAAGGTGCCATCGCGTTGACGGAAGAGCAGAAAGAGCTGCTCGAGCTCGATGCTACCGGCAGGATGGGCGAGGAGACTGGAGACAAGGATGGAGAAGCTCAGTCTGATGATAGGGATGAGCCGACGCGACAAGTGGACCCAAATGGCGGCGATGAAGAAAACTTGAAAGAGGCCATGGCGGGCGCGATATTGGTGAGATCAGGCGACCATTTCTGGCCTTTGCGTGCCGCCGTTGCTGACGGATTGTCCACGTGCTGTATCTCCGCCAGTCATCCATCTCCACGATCAGCAGGACCATCCTATCGCTCTTGTCCACGCCAGCTCTCGACTCTGCCGGGTCGGTCACATCCTGCAAATCTCTCATCATTTCCCTCTCTTCCTTTGACCTCTTCACCTCTCGACCTCGACAAGCTCTGCTCTACGTGCTACTAGATGCCGTCCAAGCAGGTTCGTACGCGCCAGGTCTGTGCATCATCGGTCTGACGCGCAGGCTGGACACTACAGACTTGTTGGAGAAGCGTGTCAGGAGCAGGTTCGCGGGCAGGACCATCCACTTGTACCCTCTCGCCTGGGAAGGATGGCGTCAGTTGACCAAGAGGACACTGATGAGTGGTTTGAGCGATGCGAGTCCTGCGACGCTGAAGCACGCTTGGACGGAACAAGTAGAGGTGAGAGCTGGAGCGGCAAAAGGGCTCTCCTTGTTTTTTTGCGTATTTCTCGCTCTCGCTGACGCTCTGTTTTTCGCAGGCTCTACTTGGCGATCAGCTCTTTGCACGGCTTCTTCAGGGGCTTCACGAGCTAGGCACCGACGTGCGGCAGCTCTATCGCATCCTGGTGAGCAGCGCTTCCCTTTTCCAGCAGCACGACTTGACAGGCCTGGCCTGCTAATCCGTGATCTCGCCCTGCGCATGTACAGTCCATTCCCATCGCCGGGCTCTCGGCATCGAAGCCTCAGCTCGATACGCAAGCATTCTTGACAGCAGCTCACTCTCAGCGCGACGACTCCACGAGCCAAGTGCTGGATGGTAAGTGCGACTCGGCCATGATCGGAGGGGCGCATCCTCACAACCTCTCTCTCTCTATATATATACTCCTTCTCTCCCTCTCTCTTTCTCTCCCGTCGATGCAATCCCATTCTCGCAGATCTGTCCACCGCCGAATTCGCACTCCTGGTAGCTTCAAAGCATCTACAGAGACTCGATCGACAAGTATTCAATTTCGAAATGTGCTTCAAAATCTTGCGGGATTGGGCGCAGAGATGCAGGAGAGAGAGGCAAGGCGTGGGTGCGGCAAGTCTGGAGCCTTCTGGTGAGGCGGAGCGGACGTTGGAGCTGGACGGCGCCGCGTCGCCCAGGACTCGCAGACGAATCGGAGACAACGAGAGCGACAAGTTGCTGGTCAATCGAGAAAAGATGCTGATGGTGAGCACCTCTCGAGAGCGTACTTCCTAGCACTCTGAGCCAGGCTCACGCATCTGCATGCCCCTATCTGACAGGCATTCCAATCGCTCCTGACGGCCGAAATCTTCCTTCCCGATGCCATGTTCTCGAGCATGTCGCTGTTGCAGGGACCTCAATCTGGTGCAGCTTCGCTGACTGGTCGATCCAAGTCTTCCCTCTCGGGCGGAAGTGTGAGGCTGGAGTACCTAAAAGTCAGGTGCGCCGTCGATGCCGTGAGCATCGCTGATGCTGCGCGACGATCCACTCGCCGAGTTCCCTTGGACACGGCGCTGGTGCTTTGGGCGACTGGCAGCGGCACAATAGCTTGACAATGACGCAACGAATCCTACCCTGCCGTCACTAGTCTGTGCATGTATGCGCGCGCGCGACTTTTTGAAGCGTGGTGTCGTCTCGCGAAACAGCGCTCCGCCTTATTCCTCTTCCTCATACTCGTCAGCCCCACCACCAATCTCAACGCCGTCCAAAAGCTGCTCGCCCCCCTCATCCTCCTCCTCCTCCTCGGCTTCTTCTGGTGCTCCACCTAGCTGACTCCAGCCGTTGCCCTTGTGTGACTTTTCATCAGCCTTGGCCTCTCTCCTCCGCTCCATCCTGTGCAGAATCTTTGTAGCAGAGTTGAAGATGCCCTGCGTCTGAGCACCGCACGCAAAGCATTTGGGCGTCTTTGCGTACCTCTTGATGGCGCAAGATGCGCAAAAGTAGTGGCCGCAACGAGTGACGATGGGATCGGTGAATGGCTGCCTGCAGATCAAGCACGCAAAAGGAATCTCCTCCTCCTCGTCCGACTCCTCCGCTTCGATCTGACGCGAAGCGGTATTGGAGAGACTGTCCATCTGCCAGCCTGCCAGATAGTCCGACCTGTCGTGCAGAAACTTGCAGGTATCGCCAAAGCCGCAGTAGCCGGTCTCCTTGTAGTCCTTGCAAATGTCTGGCTGGTAGTCTGTGACTGTGACTGTTCGCACATTGGCAGTGGCCTTGATGGGACCTTTTGCCGCTGCATTGAAGCTCGAGCTCTTGCCATTGTCCCTCGTTTCGAGGTACGTGTCGTATGCCGCCTTGCCTCGATACATGCCATCCGCATTCGACGCCTTGGCACTTTGGCCTGCATCGCCGCCGTAGTGCTTGTCGACAGAGACAGCAACTGCTCCCCTCGCTTCATCCTCGGCGTACTTGTACTCGAATGCCGAAGAGGTGCTCGCTGGAGCTGATGCCCAGGCATGAGACTGCACTTTGCTCTGGGTGCCTGCTCGGTCTAGATGATGCGCTGGTGCAGGCTTGCTCGACTCTGCATCCGATCCAGATTGCAACTCATCTTCGGACCATATCCCCTCATCGCCCTCGCCCTCGCCCTCGCCCTCGCCACCGACTCGCTGACGCTTGCGACCCGTGCCCTGCCTGAGCGGATTGTAAGCGCTCGTCTTTTTTCTCTGCACCACCGACGTGCTCTCCTCCGGCTCGCTCGCTTCGAGCACGCCATGCGAGCCAACGCCCTCGCCACTCCTGCTGACGGCAGCACTGGGAGATGTGCTGCGCTTGCGAACCAAACGAGGACCTCTTGACTTTTTCTTGAATAGAGATGACCCTGCAGACGACGAGGTCTCTTGAGCATCAGCTTCAGCACCCACTGCCATCGCGGCTGAAGCTGATAGAAGTGAAGTGAAGTGAAGTGCTGATGGACGAGAGGTGGATGCGATGTCGCTTTTGCCTGCGTGGGACCGAGACGGCGCCAAGGAGATCCCAGAGTGATTTCAAGGGGTGCAGACTGTTTGAGTGGCGTGCAAAGTGCAGCGCCAACGGGGGCGGGGGCCTCTGTGAGGAGCGGGCACGATGGATGGTCGGAAGCGGGCAGGACGATGGACGTGAGCTGAGCTGGGCTCGAGCGAGAGCGTGGCGGTGATGGTGTGGTGAGGGTGGATGAAGCGGGGTTGGTGTCGATGTCCCCGTGCGCTGGACCATCAGCGGCGTTCGTTGCGCGAATCACGAAAGAGAGGAATCAGTCGTGCGTCACACTCACACTACTGTGACTGTGACTGTGACTGTGACTGTGACTCAAACCGTAGAGGTCGCGCGACTGCATGCGCCACAGAGTCACGAGTCACGATGAGTCGCGAGTCTACGGCCGGTGGCGCAGCACGTGATCGCGTGTGCCCTGCGTGAAGCCGCACGGTCGGTAGCCTTCTGGCCGCCTGGCCTTTTAGCCGTAATCTTGAATCACGAATTTGAATCACGAATCTCATTCTGCCTCGAGCATTCGCATTCAAGATCGCTCGAGGCACATGTCCCCAACGTGAGTCTGCAGTCACAGGTATTCGTGATTGTCCATCACAAAGGGCTGGCTGCGGCAGTGTACTTTGCGAGACGCAGAAAGAGCAAAGTAAGGATGCGCGCGCTGCGCATCGCGAAAGAGGTGGTCATGCCATGCCATGCCATGCCATGCCATGGCCCACCTTGGGTCAGTCTCGCCCCTGCAAATTCGGCCAACGCTCACGGCCACCTCGTTGAGGTATCCGTATTCAAACCAACGCCATGAGCGGCGCACAGCCACCAACCATATCGAGACGGTCGGAAGAAGCTCGGGCGATGTGATCAAGTCTACGTCACGTCGGCTTCGCTGATGGAACGTTGCTGGTTCGCTGCCCTCTTGGCCGCCCATGCGCCGCCCATCCATCTTTGCTCGGTGGCAAGCCTTCTCTCATTGAGACCGTTCTTCCAAAGCGGTACGCAGAGAAGTGTGCGTGATGCGCCCCTCTTCTTTGGTGCGCCACAAATCCTTTATCGGCGAGATCGAGCTCTGAGTGGCGAGCGGCCGATTCCTTGCGCCGCCTGAAAGGTGCTCATGCTGCTGCTCGTACCTCGAATGAAGGGTTACGATGGCGAGCAGAGGCCCGCCACTACTTTGTCAAGAGTCATGTTTGCATGCGCCACCAGCAGGTATTGGTGCTTCATGGCAGCGTCGCAAATGCGATGCCGCATCAGAGTTCGTATAAATGCTTAAAAATGTGAGCCTGCAAGAATACATGCAAAGTTCTCCCCCCCCCCATCCTCGTCTTCTGCATTTTAGCGCAAAAGCTTGGCCGGTCCAGGCGAATTCTTCTCTCTCTGTGTGTGTGCACAAGAACTCGAAGCAGAACACCGCCACGCAGCATCTTCCTTGGACAGTCAGACGTCGGGCAAACAAACATGAAGTTCACTGGCTTTTTCGCTGCTCTCTTCGCTTCGACTGCCATCATCACCTGTCACGGCGCGCCAGGTGCCCGCGCCCGCCCCCACGCCTGGTCGAGCCTTGCCTCGAAGTCCGCTCCTCTTGGCGAACGTGCGACCTGGTATGAGATCAACAAGGTGCGGCAGAGCGCACAGGTACTGTCGAGACTGTCGCTGCCTTTAACAGCTGACGAAACTCTCAACCCCTCATCCCACCTCCCGCATCAGCGCACGATCATCCCAGCGCCCAAATTGAATGGCTTCCACGTGAATGGTCACCCTCAGATCTCGCAAGGCGCCTTTTTGCCAAAGTGAGCCAGAGCCAGCCGCGTGCAAATAACAGCCAAGGAGGGCTTTCGAGTCGAGTCGAGATGCGCCTTGTACTGACACGTACGCTGTCGCGTCGCGCATGGGGCGACACAGAAACAGCTTGGGATTCGATCGCCACGTCGAGGTGAGTCTGATCTGTCAGACGGCGCTTTCTTTTGCGCAACGCTTGCATTGCACTTAACTCCTGACATGCATTGCGGATCGCTTTCTTGATCGTTCTCCAGATCCCTGACAAGCATACGCTCAAGTGGAGTTATGCACACGATACAGCAAGGCCTTTGCACATCTTCGATAGCGAGCGTGGATGGATACTGCAACACGGCGCTCAGCCCATCGACCGCGCCATCTCTCCCCTCGACTTTGTGAGTTGAGTTCTCAGCTGCTGCGGGGCGAATATGAAGAGTGGAGG